AAATTTGTTTAAAAAAAACCCAAAAGAAAAATTAGTAGTAAATTTGCAAAGCATAGCACTCCTCTTGAACATATTAACTATGAATAAGTGAATGGTCAATAGGGAAGGTGTATGGTACTTTGAATCTCTTATACTCAATAAAAATGCAAAGCGGGAGAAGCGGTTAAACCATGTATTTTGCAGGGAGTTTTGTGTGTACTTTCTGAGGCTGGTGTACCTGGGCCTGTAGCTCCAGGAAGGACAGCCTCTCCCTGACCTCAGCACTCTGGTTCTGAGCCTGCAGCTTTACTCTCTCCTGCCTCACATCAAAGTACTGCACCGCTGCCACCAACTCAGCTAGAAACACACACAGGGAGGTAGGAAGAGAATGGGAGAATTTGAGGCAGGTGAGCGAGAGTGAAAGAAGCAACTTTACAGGAGGAACCGGGGAGAATTTACGAAATTGGTTGAGCTCATAGATTCCAGCATAAAGTTGATGAGTCTAGAATGAGGTGCTGAACAATAATATATGTTGTATGCTAGATAGCAAGAGAAAGAGAAAAAGAGAGAGAGAGAGTACAAGTTTATCTACATCCGGCCCCTACATCCGGGCCCTACCATCGGTGCCATTTAGACGCAGGCGGACGGCGGCAGGAAAAAGCTGCTGCCACTTCCTCTTCATGGCATGGTAGCGGACCTTGAGTTGCTCCTGCTGTAGGGGGCGCTCCAGAGAGGTGGAGCTGCAGGGGTACATCCCAAACAGGAAACGCCACACCGGGCCACGCTCCGAAGGGGACACGCCACCTAGACACACACAGCACAGGTTGAATCCAGATACTTTACAATGGCTTCTTTCCCCCTGTGTGTTCTATTTCCTCACTCCTCATCCTCACTGATGGGAAACAACTGGATAGGTGAGAGATGCAATGACATGTCCACTTGGTGTTCTGGATTGGTAGGTCTCTCTTTAGCTTTCCAACAGAATCGACTAAGGTTATAATGGTCAGACCAGGACTTTTGCATTATTTCACAGGAAAATGAAGACTAGACTAGAACTAAAATATAAAAGATAAGCTATTGGATCACTTGGCCTCTGACTAGATAAAGTGGCTAATTTATTCCTAAACAAACTAGGCTTCTCAAGGAATCTGAGTGGCTTATATTGGTTATTGTGCAAAACAAGTCTTTAGCCCCCTTCTTAGAGCTTTGACAGGGATCATTATATAATGTTTTTGCACCATAGTCACTGCAGCTAATGATATCGTGCCAGAGGAGAGAAGGAATGTGCATCGATGAAAGAGAGAAAGAGGGAGAGGGGGGAGATTATTTTTCTGTGTTCCTGGTTAGGTTTTTCATCAACACAGTTACAGTAGTAACCCCTCTATCAGTATACCATGTACCTAGCTCACAGAGCTCTACCTTGCGTGCAATGGAAGCCTCATGACTCTCTCTGAGCTTTTCAGCATGATGAAGCCCCAGGGGTTCCCAAGAACTAAAGTCAGTGGGGGTTCAGTGTTTACAGTCAACACTATGCACCCTGAGTCCTACCTCTCGGTCATATACAGTAGCTGTTTCCCCGAACCACTGATACAGGGTCAGATATTTTGTCATCCCTAAATGGTTAAGGTTATGATTGGTAGTTGGATAATCTGATCCTAGATCTGTGGTTAAGGTCAATTTCACCTTGAGCTTGAAAACCACAAGTGAAGGCCCTGAGAGTACCGGTGATTGTAACTTACTTATGGAGCATTGATGCAAATAGAAGCTAGAAAGTATACTGTACCCATCTATTCACCCATTCATACACTCCCCTCTTGTTTTCCCTCAGGAGTAGCTGTGTGTGGGCTCTTGATGTCATTCCCACAAACCATGACTGATGCATTTCATGTGAATCTCATGATTCTTCCTCCCTCTGAAAATAATCTGTCAGATCACACCAAAGGTCTTGACTGATAACTGTAAAACCAAAGCATTGTCTGTTTCTAAAAGTCATGTTGGGAGTCTTTGCTTGAGGGGTCTCAGTGAGATTTCATACATGGCTCTAGATAATGGTTGAACTGTAGTGCAGTCAGCTAGCTCCTCAGGCAAACATCACTTGACTTCCTCTTGATTTGTAGATATTGATAGAGCAATACCAAATCTGGGAAACCCAGCACTGGGAAACAATTTAACTTTACTTAATTTAAACTTTGTGATAGGCTCCAGCATACTGGTCCATAATGTTTGAATATGAAATAATTTTCAATCAATTAATATGTTGAATTATGAATTGGCAGTGATTCATGCCCATCAGTTTCTCTTTAGAATATCGTATCCTGTTTAGTTTTTTAAAATCCTCCCATCCTTACCATTCTTGAAAATGTGCATCCGCAGCCTGGACTCGTCCACTCTCCCCTCTGCGTCCATAACGCCAGGTAACCCGAGAGGTGTCGTGGATGGAGCAGGTGCGTTTACCGATGGTACTTTCAGCTGGTCTCCAAACTCTGCGGTGACATGATTGACAGGTGAACTTCTTTCCGTTAGCCCATTCTTTTCCTTTGTTTTAATGGGAGTCCCACATACCCCGAGTTCTTTAGCGGTACTTTCACAAACGGGAATATTGTGCGCAGGTGAGGGCGGAAGCCCGTTCTCCTGTAGAGTGTTCATTATGTATATTCTCACTAATGACAAGGAGTGTAAAACACTATCCCTCCTCGTGAAACCGCTTTGAGTGTCCGGTACATTTGTTTGTTTAAAAAAAATTTTTTTAGTTCAGTTTTACGTTCCTTTCAGTTTTCAGTTTCTGTTTATGATGCCCAGCGCTCCGATTTTAAATGGAATATCCTTCAATACACAGAAGTTAGGACATTTGCCAGTTCAGGCAGGAATCCATATTGTGTAAGACTTCTATGCTCTGCCCACTTTAAACCTCCCGACCAAAGTTCTTCCTGCGAGTCAGTCATATGACTGAACCTTGCTGATTTTTGTGTGTGGCCTTCATTCTGGGTTTTATGTCGGGTTGAAAGCCGCAATTCTTCCCGCTACAGGAGCAAGGTAGTCATTTTAACACCACCTAGTGGTTTTATTTACAAGACAGTTCTGTCTACTGTCTAGGGGTAGGCTACCCATGGTCAGTCTGTCATAAATAAACTTTGAAAGTGAAACGCCTTCATTCATATTCTTGGCTTCTTATGATGGACTAGGCCTACAGATAATCTAGTCTAAACTGCTCTTTTGTCACCCAACACCCAACACCCAAACTGAAATCTTTAGATTTCCTCCCACACTGTGAATGGAAGTGGTCTGTGAAATGCAGATTCAGTGCAACACTAAAAGTACAAACTAACGACCAATATAATGACCATACAATATTTTGGGCTAATTGGATGACTACTTTTTTATTTAACCTTTATTAAATCGTCCAAATGAAAACTTTAGGAACTGATTGTGAGGCCTCCAAGCACTATGACGACCAACAGCTTCACTGCCAGCAAAGCATACAAATAAAATAGTTGCATGTCTGAAGTATTCTCCTCTTCTGTACCTTAAAAAACCCAAAATCATATTAAAAACATTAACTACAAAGGGATGGACAACATCATCTCTATGATAACTTGATACCTTTTGAGCAATACAATAATAAGGGAATACATTTGATATTTTTTGGCCTAATATGTGAAAAAATGTAGGTGTGTTACCTGGGATAACTGAGGTAAATATTAACCCATAAGGTGTAGGCTTAGCCTCGCTGATGAGGAGTCTTGTCCCATTGCCGTGGTACTGCTTGTCCTTCCCATTGACGCAGCACTGCAGAGTGCAGAAGTAGTATCCAGTAGCCAGTGTCATTCAGCTCATCATGATGCCTGTGTCTGTTGTGTTCAGGTCGTAGGTTTTCTGAAACCTCCACTTGAATCGGGGCAAGTCACCCACCTCCCTCCACTCCTTCCTCTGGCCATGTGTGGCCGTGTTGATGTACCACTCTGCCCTGCAGCCAGTGATCAGCTCCCCGCTGTCCGACAGGACACGGCATCCAATGGAGACGATCTGGCCCAGTGTGCCGGTCACCACAGGGTCCTGGTCCACCCTTACACGACAGAAAGCCTGATGAGGGACTGGACAACAGAATAGACAAATACTTGTGACAAATGGTCACATTATGGTATAAATAACTATATTCCTGTCAAGGGGATGACTTTCTTTGCCATCAAGACAAAGGAGAGTATACAAAAGTGAAACTAGATGCACCTGTGTAGATCTCTCCTATAGTCAACATTGGGGTTTGTGTCTGCCAACTGCACAAAACTAAATAAAAACTCAAACAAGATAAAACCATTACCTTTGAGAAGGATGATCACAACTAGGACAATGTGCAAGGTAGTCATTCCTTAGGTCAACAAGAAGGGCCAAATAATTAGCATGTTGTATGATACTAAAAGTCAGATTTTGTGGGTTGAATACTGGAAGAATTCCATCCAGATAATAGATTCAGAGAATAAATGTAATACATGTGTCATTAAAGTCTTACCTCATGCCCCCAAATAGTACTGCAACAATTACGATAACCAACTTTACTTCCTTAAGTTCATTTCCTGATGCTCTACCTACACTCTGAGGAAATATGTTTTCTAGATATGAGTCAAACCCACTGTGGTTTCCAATGTAGCTTTGTGTAAACAAATGTCAATAGGATGTGGATATCAGAAATACTTAATGTGTATGTTTAAATAATTGACCTTGCAAAGGCCTAAACAATATAAAAGTGGTTGTGTTGTTCTACTTTAAAAGTACCAGAGATGGGTGAAAGATAGAGAGGGGGGAGAGAAAGACAGAGAGGGGTGAGAGAAAGGTAGAGAATTTATATGAGAGATTTTTTCTGCGTTCCTGATCATGCGTCAGTTACACACATACTCACCCTCACTACCCCACACCCCCCACCCCGTGGCAGCCACTCTCTAGCAGTATACCATGTACCTAGCTAGCTCTACCTTGTGTGCAATGGAAGCCTCATGACTCTCTGAGCTTTTCAGCATGACAAAACCTCTTCAGCAATCACAGGTTAGAGATGATTGTGTTTACAGTCCAACGCTGTATGCCCTGGGTCATATCTCTCTCTCTCATCTCCCTTACTGAGAGAGAGAGAGAGAGAAAATAGAGAGAGAGACTCCCCAGCTAGCACATTTGGTTCCTTGAAAGTTGTGGGAACGTACATTTTTGGTTACCCATTGGTTCTGAGAATGAAGCCATAAGTTTCCTGACCGGTAAAACTGAATGTTTTTTAAACGTTCTGAGAACGGAAGTGAAAACTTCATCTGTTCTGGGAATGTAAATTTTTAGGGTACAGGGAGGTTCTGAGAACGTTTCATTATGTAACCCTGAATGTTTTTCCTGGGAGGTTTTATTAACGTTATGAGAACAAAAATTATAGGCTATTTGAAGGTAATTAAATAACGTTCGTTGAAAATGTTTCAATAACACTGCTAGCTTAGTTTTGGTTAACTGTTTTGAACACAGATAGGACACATGGAAATTCATTTGTTAAGGCTTTTTTTGAATGTGTTTTTTATTGTTGTGGCACGGCATCGGTGAGATTCAAACCTATGATCTTCTGTTTTCTAGTCATGAAATTAGTCCACTGCGCCACCAGGATATACAAACAGGCCCAATTTAAAAGGAAACAAGCACTCATTAAGATTAGGTGTCGATAGAGAGAGTTTTGTTGATGCTGAGAACGGAATGTAAAAAAAAGAAAAAATGTAACGTTCTTGCCCACAATTTTTTTTCTTGTGGTTTTTATGGAAAGTTTTCTTAATGTTCTGAGAACATGACTTTAAATAGAACCATGAGAAAACCTGTAGAAAACGGTATGCTGAAGTACTGAAATTCCCACCTAAGAAACATACGGTTCTCAAAACGTAATGTGCCAGCTGGGTATCCTGCACCATTCCCAGAATGTTGTGGGAAGGTTGTATGCAAAATAACCATAGGACACCCACGCTCTCACCAAGCTCTAAGAAACATATGGTTCTCAGAACGTTATGTGCTAGCAGGGTCTCAAGTAATTAGCCAACAGTCACTTTCAGTTTACAAATTTACACAAAACTTCCTCAAATTTCTTTTTTTGTAACAGGAAATGTACACATAATACTTTTGACACCACTCTTGTTATAACTGCTTTTAATATATGTGCCGGTGCCATGGTCACTACTAGTGTTTTCCTTGGACCTGTAGCCTTCTGTTTTGGCACCTCTTTTCACCACACAGTGAGTATCCTCCGTGGATTAGAGTTTTTATTATTATTATTATTATTATTATTATTTTGTTATTGCTGTTGTTTTATTTTGTTGTTGCTGAACCAACATTATTTCCCGATGCTTTACAGTCTATGCTATGCTTGTTGGTCAGTGGTAATGTTGTATTTGGTTGACACAATTATGATGGGTGCGCCATCTGACACCAGGCATCTTTAACACAAAATGTAAACGATATTAGGAATCTGGTGCGTCATTTGTTAGAGTTAACTTTAAAATCTCTCTGTTGGATCAGATGAGACCATTAATGTGGATTGAGATGATGCTCATTTTGTCTCAGGCCTCTGGCGCTAGTGGTAAGTGATTCATTTTTATGTCAATACGCACTCAGTGTTTCCTTATGCTATGTCTAAACAACACGAATTGAATAATCCTAATACTTTTGTTGTTAATTCAAACACAGGTGTGGATTGGAAAGTTAATTACCCAAAGGTTGTTCCTACCAATATGGAAGATGATGTGACCATACCATGCAATGTTACCTATCCCACGTCCCCATCTAAAAAGCCTATCCAGGCCTACTGGAAACGCCTGGGACCAACTAAACTAAACATCACTGATAATGACAAGAATGAATTCCTCTACCACCCCAACAACACATTCGTCATCAAGAGTTTTCAGACCAGGACCATGCTGATAGGAAATGTCAGTAAGGGAAACTGCTCCCTGGAGATCAAGAGAATTCAAAATGGCGACACGGGGCCCTTCTACTTCAGAATTGCCACTGGAGCCAACAACTTCAGTTTTATTAAAGAACTTGTCTACATTAACATATCTGGTAAGCAGTAGAGGATGCAATATAAAGTGGCTTTGTTCAGTGCAGTGTCATTCATTTGATTTGGAGGAAACTAATTCCTACTGTATTTTTCCATTCAGGAACCTCCGGGACTATTCCAACCATACCAAAGGACAAGTCAAACACAGGTGAAATATTCAGCTTAGAATTTTCATGTACACACAGAATTTAAACTGTTGCTCTGAATCAGATATTACTTTAGAAAGGACCAGTGAACCTGACACAGTTGATAACAGCAATAACAATGCCTTTGTCAAAGGTGAAAGATGGGCTGATGTTGTTTTGTCTTCTTCTCAGTTGATTCCACGACTACTGTCCCACTAACCACAGAACGTAAGTAGACTCTCAGGGCCAGTTTCCCAGAACCAGATTAAGCCTAGTCTTGGACTAAAAAGCATGCTATATCTTCAGAAAGTATTCATACCCCTTGCCTTATTCCACATGTTGTTGTGTTACAGCCTGAATTCAAAATGGATGAAATATTTTGTTTTCTCTCACCTACCTACACCACAGGAGGTCGGTGGCACCTTAATTGGGAAGGACAGGCTTGTGGTAATGACTGGAGAGGAATTAGTGGAATGGTATCAAATACATCAAACACATGGTTTCCATGTGTTTGATACCATTCCATTTACTCCGTTCCAGCCATTATAATGAGCCGTCCTCCCCTCAGCAGCCTCCACTGATCTACACACAATACCCCATACTGAGAAAGAGAAAACGTGTTTTTAGAAATGTTTGCAAATTTATTGAAAATGAAATACAGAAATATCTTATTTACATAAGTATTCACACCCCTGAATCAATACATCAATACGTTAGAATCAGCTTTGGCAGCGATTAACTAGGCAACACAGGAACATTCAATGTCGTCTTGGTAAGCAAGTCTGTTGGAAAGCAGACTGAACCAGGTTTTCCTCTAGGATCTTGCCTGCGCTTATCTCCATTCTGTTTCTTTTTATAAAAATAAAAAAATCCCTAGTCCTTGCCAATGACAAGCATACCCATAACATGATGCAGCCACCACCATGCTTGAAAGTATGAAGAGTGGTACTCAGCGATGTGTTGTGTTAGATTTGCCCCAAACATAATATTTTGTATTCAGGACATACATGTCATTTATTTTTATTTATTTTTGCAAACAGGATGCATGCTTTGGAATATTTTTATTCTGTACATGCTTCCTTCTTTTCACTGTCATTTAGGTTAATTTTGTGGAGTAACTACAGTGAGGCAAAAAGTATTTGATCCCCTGCTGATTTTGTACGTTTGCCCATGACAAAGACATGATTAGTCTATAATTTTAATAGTAGGTTTATTTGAACAGTGAGAGACAGAATAACAACAAAAAAATCCAGAAAAACGCATGTCAAAAATGTTATAAATTGATTTGCATTTTAATGAGGGAAATAAGTATTTGACCCCTCTGCAAAACATGACTTAGTGGAAAGTAAAAACCCTTGTTGGCAATCACAGAGGTCAGACGTTTCTTGTAGTTGGCCACTAGGTTTGCACACATCTCAGGAAGGATTTTGTCCCACTCCTCTTTGCAGATCTTCTCCAAGTCATTAAGGTTTCGAGCCTGACGTTTGGCAACTCGAACCTTCAGCTCCCTCCACAAATTTTCTATGGGATTAAGGTCTGGAAACTGGCTAGGCCACTCCAGGACCTTAATGTGCTTCTTCTTGAGCCACTCCTTTGTTGCCTTGGCCGTGTGCTTTGGGTCATTGTCATGCTGGAATACCCATCCACGACCCATTTTCAATGCCCTGGCTGAGGGAAGGAGGTTCTCACCCAAGATTTAACGGTACATGGCCCCGTCCATCGTGCCTTTGATGCGGTGAAGTTGTCCTGTCCCCCTTAGCAGAAAAACACCCCCAAAGCATAATGTTTCCACCTCCATGTTTGACGGTGAGGATGGTGTTCTTGGGGTCATAGGCAGCATTCCTCCTCCTCCAAACACGGCGAGTTGAGTTGATGCCAAAGAGCTCAATTTTGGTCTCATCTGACCACAACACTTTAACCCAGTTCTCCTCTGAATCATTCAGATGTTCATTGGCAAACTTCAGACAGGCATGTATATGTGCTTTCTTGAGCAGGGGGACCTTGTGGGCGCTGCAGGATTTCAGTCCTTCACGGCGTAGTGTGTTACCAATTGTTTTCTTGGTGACTATGGTCCCAGCTGTCTTGAGATCATTGACAAGATCCTCCCGTGTAGTTCTGGGCTGATTCCTCACCGTTCTCATGATCATTGCAACTCCACGAGGTGAGATCTTGCATGGAGCCCCAGGCCGAGGGAGATTGACAGTTATTTTGTGTTTCTTCCATTTGCGAATAATCGCACCAACTGTTGTCACCTTCTCACCAAGCTGCTTGGCGATGGTCTTGTAGCCCATTCCAGCCTTGTGTAGGTCTACAATCTTGTCCCTGAAATCCTTGGAGAGCTCTTTGGACTTGGCCATGGTGGAGAGTTTGGAATCTGATTGATTGATTGCTTCTGTGGACAGTTGTCTTTTATACAGGTAACAAACTGAGATTAGGAGCACTCCCTTTAAGAGTGTGCTCCTAATCTCAGCTCGTTACCTGTATAAAAGACACCTGGGAGCCAGAAATCTTTCTGATTGAGAGGGGGTCAAATACTTATTTCCCTCATTAAAATGGAAATCAATTTATAACATTTTTGACTTGCGTTTTTCTGGATTTTTGTGTTGTTATTCTGTCTCTCACTGTTCAAATAAACCTACTATTAAAATTATAGACGGATCATTTCTTTGTCAGTGGGCAAACGTACAAAATCAGCAGGGGATCAAATACTTTTTTCCCTCACTGTATAAATGTTGTTGATCCATTCTCTGTTTTCTCCTATCACAACCATTAAATTCTGTAATTGTTTTAAAGTCACCATTGGCCTCATGGTGAAATCACTGAGCGGTTTCCTTCGTCTCTGGCAACAGAGTTAAGAAGGACGCCTGTATCTTTGTGGTGACTGGGTGTATTGATACACGATCCAAAGTGTAATTAATAACTTTACCATGCTCAAAGGGATTTTCAATGCTGCTTTTTTTTACCCATCTACCAATAGGTGCCCTTATTTGCAAAGCATTGGAAAACCTCCCTGGTCTTTGTGGTTGAATCTGTGTTTGAAATGTACTGCTTGACTGAGAGACCTTACAGACAGTTGTATGTGTGGGGTACAGAGATGAGGTAGTCATTCAAATATCATGTTATACACTATTATTGCACACAGTGAGTCCATGCAACATGTGACTTGTTAAGCACATTTTTACTCCTGAACTTATTTAGGCTTGCCATAACAAAGGTGTTGAATACTTACTGACTCAAGACATTTCAGCTTTTCATGTTCTAAAAACATAATTCCACTTGGACATTATGTGGTATTGTGTGTAGGCCAGTGACACAAAATCTCAATTTAATAAATAAAACATTCAGGCTGTAACACAACAAAATGTGGAAAAAGTCAAGGGGTGAGAATACTTTCTGAAGGCACTGTATCTCTTCTACAACGCCCGGAAATCTGCCCCTTTTATTCTCTGTACCCAACGCACTAGAAGACCAGTTCTTAAAAGCCTTTAGCCGTATCCTTGTTCTTTTCCTCCTCTGTTCCTCTGGTGATGTAGAGATTAACCAAGGCCCTGTAGCCCCCAGTATCACTCCTACTCCCCAGGCGCTATCATTTGTTGACTTCTGTAACCGCAAAAGCCTTGGATTCTTGTATGTTAACATTAGAAGCCTCCTCCCTAAGTTTGAGTTATTCACTGTGTTAGCACACTCCGCCAACCCTGATGTTCTAGCAGTGTCTGAATCCTGGCTTAGGAAGGCCACCAAAGATTCAGAAATTTCCATTCCCAACTACAACATGTTCCGTCTAGATAGAACTGCCAAAGGGGGCGGAGTTGCAATCTACTGTAGAGATAGCCTGCAGAGCTCTATCATACTATCCAGGTCTGTGCACAAACAGTTTGAGCTTCTACTTCAAAAAATCCACCTTTCCAGAAATAAGTCTCTCACCGTTGCCGCTTGCTACAGACCCCCCTCAGCCCCCAGCTGTGCCCTGGACACCATATGTGAATTGATTGCCCCTCATCTATCCTCAGAGTTCGTATTGCTTGTTGACCTAAACTGGGATATGCTTAACACCCCGGCCGTCCTACAATCTAAACTAGATGCCCTCAATCTCACACAAATTATCATGGAACCTACCAGTTACAACCCTAAATCCATTAACATGGGCACCCTCATAGATATCATCCTGACTAATTTACCCTCTAAATACACCTCCGTTGTCTTCAACCAGGATCTCAGCGATCACTGCCTCATTGCCTGCGTCCGTAATGGGTCTGCGGTCAAACGACCACCCCTCATCACTGTCAAACGCTCCCTAAAACACTTCAGCGAGCAGGCCTTTCTAATTGACCTGGCCCGGGTATCCTGGATGGATATTGACCTCATTCCGTCAGTAGAGGATGCCTGGTTGTTCTTTAAAAGTGCTTTCCTCTCCATCTTAAATAAGCATGCCCCATTCAAAAAATTCAGAACTAAGAACAGATATAGCCCCTGGTTCACCCCAGACTTGACTGCCCTTGACCAGCACAAAAATATCCTGTGGCGTACTACATTAGCATCGAACAGCCCCTGCAATATGCAACTTTTCAGGGAAGTCAGGAACCAATATACACAATCAGTTAGGAAAGCAAAGGCTAGCTTTTTCAAACAGAAATTTGCATCCTGTAGCATTACATTTACATTTGACATTTAAGTCATTTAGCAGACGCTCTTATCCAGAGCGACTTACAGTTAGTGAATGCATACATCTATTTTTTATTTTATTTTTTCATACTGGCTAGGAAACACTGTCACTACCGATAAATCTATGATAATCGAAAATTTCAACAAGCATTTTGCTACGGCTGGCCATGCTTTCCACCTGGCTACCCGTACCCCGGCCACCAGCTCTGCACCCTCCGCTACAACTTGCCCATGCCCCCCCCCGCTTCTCCTTCACCCAAATTCAGATAGCTGATGTTCTGAAAGAGCTGCAAAATCTGGATCCCTACAAATCAGCTGGGCTAGACAATCTGGACCCTTTCTTTCTAAAATTAGCGGCCGAAATTGTCGCAACCCCTATTACCAGCCTGTTCAACCTCTCTTTCGTATCGTCTGAGATCCCCAGAGATTGGAAAGCTGCCGCGGTCATCCCCCTCTTCAAAGGGGGTGACACTCTAGATCCAAACTGTTACAGACCTATATCCATCCTGCCCTGCCTTTCGAAAGTATTTGAAAGCCAAGTTAACAAACAGATCACCGACCATTTCGAATCCCACCGTACCTTCTCCGCCATGCAATCTGGTTTCCGTGCTGGTCATGGGTGCACCTCAGCCACGCTCAAGGTCCTAAACGATATTATAACCGCGATTGATAAAAGACAGTACTGTGCAGCCGTCTTCATCCACCCGGCTCCGTCAATCACCGCATTCTTATTGGCAGACTAAATAGCCTTGGCTTCTCAATTGACTGCCTCGCCTGGTTCACCAACTACTTCTCAGATAGAGTTCAATGTGTCAAATCGGAGGGCCTGTTGTCTGGACCTATGGCAGTCTCTATGGGGGTGCCACAGGGTTCAATTCTTGGGCCGACTCTATTCTCTGAGTATATCAATGATGTCGCTCTTGCTGCTGGTGACTCTCAGATCCACCTCTACGCAGACGACACCATTTTGAATACATCTGGCTCTTCATTGGACACTGTGTTAACAAACCTCCAAACGAGCTTCAATGCCATACAGCCCTCTTTCCGTAGCCTCCAACTGCTCTTAAATGCTAGTAAAACTAAATGCATGCTCTTCAATCGAACGCTGCTTGCACCCGCCCGCCCGACTTGAATCACTACTCTCGGCGGGTCTGACTTAGAATATGTGGACAACTACAAATACCTAGGTGTCTGGTTAGACCCTAAACTCTCCTTCCAGACTCACATTAAGCATCTCCAATCCAAAGTTAAATCTAGAATCAGCTTCCTATTTCGCAACAAAGCCTCCTTCACTCATGCTGCCAAACATGCTCTCATAAAACTGACTATTCTACCGATCCTTGACTTTGGCGATGTCATTGACAAAATAGCCTCCAACACTCTACTCAGCAAATTGGATGTAGTCTATCACAGTGCCATCCGTTTTGTCACCAAAGCCCCATATACTACCCACCATTGTGACCTGTACGCTCTCGTTGGCTGGCCCTCACTACATATTCGTCACCAAACCCACTGGCTCCAGGTCATCTATAAATCACTGCTAGGCAAATCTCCGCCTTATCTTAGCTCATTGGTCACCATAGCAACACCCACCCGTAGTATGCACTCCAGCAGGTATATCTCACTGGTCATCCCCAAAGCCAACACCTGCTTTGGCCGCCATTCCTTCCAGTTCTCATCTTCTGCACATCTATCATTCCAGTGTTAATACTAAATTATAATTATTTTGCACTATGGCCTATTTATTGCCTTACCTCCATAACTTACTACATTTGCACACACTGTATATAGATTTTCTATTGTGTTATTGACTGTACGTTGTGTTTATCCCATATGTAATTCTGTGTTGTTGTTGTTTTTATTGCACTGCTTTGCTTTATCTTGGCCAGGTCGCAGTTGTAAATGAGAACTTGTTCTCAACTGGCTTACCTGGTTAAATAAAGGTTAAATAAATAAATAAAAACTCAATTTGAGAAAGGGTCTGTTGATTTTGCGTTGGGAGGCAGGTAGCTTAGCAGTTAAGAGCGTTGGGCTGGTAACCGAAAGGTTGGTGGTTTGAATCCTTGAGCTGTGAAAAATCTTGAGCAAGGCACTTAACGATAACTGCTCCGTCGCTCTGGATAAATGTGTCTGCTAAATGACTAACGTAAAAAATATAAATTTAAAGAGTGAATTAATAAATGTTCCTCAGTCCTAATCAGAATGTTTTTCACAGTGCGTGAGGAAGGGCTGTCCATGACCATATCTATTGCCATTGCGGTCCCAGTGGTTGCAGTTCTACTGGTTTCTGTATTGGGGAGTGTTTGGTTCTTCAAGTACAGGAAAAGGTGGGTCCGGTTGATGGGTGTCCCCAGAGGGATGCTCTCAAGTTTGACTGACATTGATCAATTTCATTAGCAACATGATGTCCTCTGCCTTCTATTAATCGTTGCAGATACATTTTAAATATATTTTTCCAACATTCACTAAAATAACAACAGAATTGATTTTATAGGTCCAGGTGTGTCGTCACTAAGCAAGAGTCTGGATATTATGCTAATTTCACCATCACATCTCCAACGACCAAACCTGAAAGGTATGCTTAAAACTATGAAACATTCTTTAGTAAATTGCTAGTTTGACATATTTCATTTTTTCTTCTGAACGTTACTCTAAAATGTGTTCTTTGAGTTGACCTACAGTGTCAGTGAACTACTTGTCTTCCCCTATCTCCACAGAGTCAAAACTACAAAGAAGAAAGATGACACCCAAGTTCCTCCTCCAAAGGTCATCGATGAGCCCGTCTATGGCAACGTCCAGGTACATTACAGCACCCTGAGCAGATCTGTTTTAAACTGACAGTACTCTTTATAGTGATAGTATACGTAGACTGTTGATAAGTCATCAGCTTTGGACCTAATGGTCTTTACCCACTGGGCACACACTGGTTGACTCAACGTTCCCACGTCATTTCAATTACATGACATTTAAGCAACGTGAAATAGACGTTGAGTTGACGTCTGTGGCCAGTGGGTAATATATATGTTTACCATGATAGCCATTTAGTGTTGTGCTCATAGCTTCATGATATACCTTTCCCTACCTTCCCTGCCTGATTTCCCCATTTCTCTTTACAGGGTCCAAACGATCCGATGAACAGTATGGATCAAATGGACAGTGTATATGCAAATGTTGATGATGTAAAACAGTGATAAAGCCGCAACTCAGACAACAGCATTGCTTAATAATACTTGTTGTGTGTTTGTTTGTTTTTATCTTGATTGTTTTCTTGTCTAAAGGCAGCTTACAGAGTGTCAGCCCTCATTTCTCACATCCTGTTTGACTTTCACTTGGTTAGACAATAATATGTGCAGTTTGTTTGTTAAATGTAATATACAGTGGGGAGAACAAGTATTTGATACACTGCCGATTTTGCAGGTTTTCCTACTTACAAAGCATGTAGAGGTCTGTAATTTTTATCATAGGTACACTTCAACTGTGAGAGATGGAATCTAAAACAAAAATCCAGAAAATCACATTGTATGATTTTTAAGTAATTGATTTGCATTTTATTGCATGACATAAGTATTTGATCACCTACCAACCAGTAAGAATTCCGGCTCTCACAGACATGTTAGTTTTTCTTTAAGAAGCCCTCCTGTTCTCCACTCATTACCTGTATTAACTGCACCTGTTTGAACTCGTTACCTATATAAAAGACACCTGTCCACACACTCAATCAAACAGACTCCAACCTCTCCACAATGGCCAAGACCAGAGAGCTGTGTAAGGACATCAGGGATAAAATTGTAGACCTGCACAAGGCTGGGATGGGCCACAGGACAATAGGCAAGCAGCTTGGTGAGAAGGCAACAACTGTTGGCGCAATTATTAGAAAATGGAAGAAGTTCTAGATGACGGTCAACAAGATCTTGGCCAACAACCTCCTTCCCTAAGTAAGAGCATTGAAGATGGTCGTGGCTGGGTCTTCCAGCATGACAACGACCCGAAACACACAGCCAGGGCAACTAAGGAGTGGCTCCGTAAGAAGCATCTCAAGGTCCTGGAGTGGCCTAGCCAGTCTCCAGACCTGAACCCAATAGAAAATCTTTGGAGGGAGCTGAAAGTCCGTATTGCCCAGCGACAGCCCCGAAACCTGAAGGATCTGGAGAAGGTCTGTATGGAGGAGCAGGCCAAAATCCCTGCTGCAGTGTGTGCAAACCTGGTCAAGACCTACAGGAAACGTATGATCTCTGTAATTGCAAAACAAAGGTTTCTGTACCAAATATTAAGTTCTGCTTTTCTGATGTATCAAATACTTATGTCATGCAATAAAATGCAAATTAATTACTTAAAAATCATACAATGTGATTTTCTGGATTTTTGTTTTAGATTCCGTCTCTCACAGTTGAAGTGTACCTATGATACAAATTACAGACCTCTACATGCTTTGTAAGTAGGAAAACCTGCACAATTGGCAGTGTATCAAATACTTGTTCTTCCCACTGTATATAATTCAGTATGTAACTATTTTTTAAAGGACTGACTTTCAAATAAACATAGTTACTGAGATGATATGCTTCCGGTTGTTTGATTCAATCTATGTCAAAACATTTCACACAAAAACAGCTCTCGCAGTCTATTGACAAGCATTCGCAACTAAACGTAACATTTGTTCTGAGTTGGACAGAAACATAATGTTGCCAGAAATTTAACAATTTTTCTGGGTAGTCACGAGTGAATGAAGTCAAACACATGAGATTGACGTGTCAAAGTGAATACATTTCTAGAGTTTTGATTGGTTGAGTTTTAAGTTTTCTATGTTGCATATGTGAACAAACAGTATCTGATAAGAAACTTTGCAGACAATAACTGCCACTGTTTTTTAGGGGTATGCATATATAGGCCTTGTTTTTGGTACTCAAATGCAAAGTCTCAGGGGTAAGAGTGGGTGAAACTCTGGAATAATACTGGACCTGAACTAAGTCAACGCAGAAAAGGTACTTCTGCGTTCTCATTTTTACAGTTCAAACTCATACAGTTGAAGTCGGAAGTTTACATACACCTTAGCCAAATACATTTAAACTAAATTTTTCACAATTACTGACATTTAATCCTAGTATAAATTCCCTGTCTTAGGTCAGTTAGGATCACCACTTTATTTTAGCTTTTATTTCTTTCATCACATTCCCAGTGTGTCAGAAGTTTACATACACTCAATTAGTATTTGGTAGCATTGCCTTTAAATTGTTTAACTTGGGTCAAACGTTTCGGGTAGCCTTCCACAAGCTTCCCACAATAAATTGGGTGAATTTTGGCCCATTCCTCCTGACAGAGCTGGTGTAACTGAGTCAGGTTGGTAGGCCTCTTTGCTCGCAGACACTTTTTCAGTTCTGCCCACACATTTTCTATAGGATTGAGGTCAGGGCTTTGTGATGGCCACTCCAATACCTTGACTTTGTTGTCCTTAAGGCATTTTGCCTCAACTTTGGAAGTATGCTTGGGGTCATTGTTCATTTGGAAGACCCATTTGCGACCAAGCTTTAACTTCCTGACAGATGTCTTGAGATGTTGCTTCAATATATTGTCGTATAAATATTTGACTCAAAAGTAGTCAACTCAAAAATCTCTCTCAAGAAACTGGAGCTTGTGAATCCAAAAATTTGACTTTATTATTGTGTAACAAAGCCGAGCTTGCTCCATGGAACAACTGCTTGCCCTGACCCGGAGCTCTCCTTTTATACAGACACAAATGCATAGTCATGCTTATACAACATACATAGTTACTCCTCTCTATGTGAATGAATAACATCTTTCAGTATCACATGTTGGCTACACACGGGGCTAGGTGCATTTCTCTAAGTGGGGCTTCTGTCTCTTATTAGTGGCGTGACTCAAAAAATTCTATACATACGTACGTTAAAGAACAATCACACTCTGTATTGACTATATTCACTATCCAGACATACATCTGGAGTACAAAGTATCAATCATGTTCATTCTGTTTTACCTTTATCATTTCACAACACATTATAAAACATATCAATTAATACTTAAACATGGTTTAAACATGTCATGGCCATAACCTATTCTCAACCACATACATTTAAGCCAATCCCAAAAAGCATCCTCCCAGGACCCTGAGCCGCTATGGTTTTTCCTTGTGACTGTGTATGTGGCTATGTGTCAGGTCATAAGCACAAACAAATGATAACACTAGTTCCATTGTTACTCCAATCTCCACACAGCCACCACGAGGAGTTGTATCTCCATCACATGTCATGACATACCCAGACCAGCTGCAGGGAGTTATCAAAAGCACAGCGTTTGCGCTAAAGAAATGTCTCTGCTCTGTTTTAATCCTTCAACTGGTTCTCAATCCATAAGCATTTAAGGCATATAGGTGTTTAATTCTACAACATATGTACTAGAAAATCATCCATATATAGAAAATCATCCATATATTCCCCCCTTTGGGACTTTCTAAGTCCCAACCAATAAAACAAAAGTTAACATAAAATGAGTGTAAGCATGTGCATATACTTATTCTCAGCCTTGCCATCTGTGGTTACATTTTTATAAGAATATATATTTAGACCAATGTATCTTCCTCATTGTCTGACCCATCCTGATGAGGACAAGGAGCCCAGTCGCGTACTGGGTACAAATCCGGAAGGTTTCCCTCTAAGCTAACCTCCAATTGTTGCTGTTGAGCTTTGTAACCATGACAGGCCCATCCACCCCCAGGGATAACACCATACAGACATTCAGGATTCCCAAATGGGCAGTCCATTGGTCCTCCTTTTATATTACAGGGCTTTCCATATTCATTAACATACTGTCCTGGAGCTCCCTGAACAGGGTGTATTTCTTTGGTTGACTTATTAACAATTGTCTGTACAGTCAGTTGCCTTACTGTGGTTTGGATCAAAAGTGATTTCAACAAAGGTAGTACACAACAAAAGACCATTCCCATTACTACAAGTGCTATGCCTATCATGATTGCCATTTTCGTAAACATTGCTCTCCACTTTCCCAAAGTTAAGTCCATCCAATCCCAAGTGTGAGCATCATGCCCAGCATTGTCCTTAACTTTTTTTGTAGTCCTTTGAGCTTAGTCATTGCTTCAGTGAATGAACCATCCAGAGCAGTATTATTGGGAATGAAGGTACAACATTCATCCCCAAACATAACACAAACTCCACCTTTTTCTGCCAACAGCCAGTTTAAAGCCTGCCTATTCTGCCATGTCATTCTACTTGTAGCCTGTACTTGCTCTCCCAGAGCTTTTAACGCAGAGTCTGTGTAATTAATAAACCTTTGTTGATTATAGTAAATACAATTGATCCATTCTAGGTTTTTGTTAGGTGATATCCAGACAAATATTGATTCAAATCCTGCTTTAATTGCATCTCTTGCCTTATATTCATTTGGAATTCCTCTGGGTTGACATATTGCATCTAAGTATACATTGAGGTCATGTTCATTCATTTTTACCCTTTTATTATTGTCCTGGGTGTCCTGATTTGTTGTTTTTTCCACCTCCCATTCTGATATAACCACTTCCTGAAGCATTTGTACTCTAGCACATATTCCCTTCCATCCTTTAGGCAAAGTGGCTCTAATTCTTTGTCCTCCACAAATCCAAAAGAAATCTGCCACTGCCACCGATTGATCCTCATAAGGAGAGATCAGTGGCATTGCCAGTGTTTGCGTCTCACATTCCCCAGGGTCACCAGGCCCTCCACTAGTAGCTATCACTCCAGTGCTCGATCCCGCCGCCTGATAAACTGCTCTGCGCGGAGTATCTGCATTCCAAGACATATAATTATTTAGGTGCCATGTGGTCTCACACTTTCCCCTAAATTCTCCCAAATCATGCTCCCCATCCGCATAGCATTCATAATCTTGATTATAATCTATACAATATTTTTCCGGTGCTTCCATTTTTCTGGGTTCTCTTCTGACATCTAATTTTTTACACCACTCCCCCCATCCTGTTTGATTATAGTATTTGTGATGGTCAGGACTTCCTAAGAAGGATAAGCATTCTGCAGGGCAATAGGGTCTCTCTGATCTTTTGAGATGACAGAAGTTTCGTTTAAAGTCAGCACAGTCCCTGTGGCTATGTGGACTTGGTATTACCATCAGTTCCTTTAATGGGGAGGGGGAGCCTACTAGACAATCCGTTTTCTTATTAATGACTTTAGCTGAATACTGTGCCCATCTGTACCAATCATTTTGTAATGCTCCCTCCCATAGTCTACTTAGTTTTGTTGGTGCTTTCATTATTTCCGGTATTACTGCTGGTGCTGAGCTAGATTGTTTATTTTCCTGGTTTCCCCAATTAGTCAAAGATTCCCATACATTTTGAAAGAACCCAGTTCATTCTGTTGTTTCTGAGTCTTCCTTC